CCGATGTCAGACTTTTCTCCTCTGTCTCATGGGCTGGGCAGTATCAGGATGGTAATAACCGTGTAATTCGTTGGCTGTACTTGTTATCGCTATGGGTAGAGGAGAAGAAGGGTCTCATTACCAATAATTGTATCAAAAGTGCCATGTACGCATTTTACGCTGTATAATCATTATCATATTCATCTTTTTTGAAAGCTTTTACATCTTGAGTCGTGTTGGAACATTGATGCTCACATTTTGATACGTGTGGTTTTACTCGCGATTTTAGAGTTTATTTTTTAGCAAGTCATTGTGCCAGTATCGTTCATATGTGCCAGTTTCATGTTATTCGTATCCATATTGGCGATACGGGCTCATTTTTTTACAATGTGATGTGTGCCAGCATAATGGCTGTTTTTGCGTCGGAAATGTCGGTCTCTCGTGTACAGAAGGAGTGCTAAGTCGTTTTAAAGCGTTGAACAAGTATAGATATATAACGTGCTTGCCAGACACGCTCAGCTCAGCGCATTAAGTGCCTCGCTTATCGGTCTTTCCCTCTGTGTAAATGTGCTAACGTTCACATTGCAAATGTGTACCTGACGAGTGCATCATGTTTGAGCTTAAAAAGCGGCTTGGGCTGTAAGCCTTTGAAATAATTTCCACAATTCAACGTGCACGGGAATGTATATTACAAACGGATTTTAATTGGATTTCGCCCACGTTTGTGTTTGGAATGCGCCTTTGCTTTCCCGATGTATTTTGGTGAAATGTTTGTGGTTTCCTTACCCCCTGTTCTACCCTGTTCGGCTTAATTTGGGCGTGGTGCTGCTTGAGCTTCACAAACGAATGGATCATTGAAATGTAGCGCGTAATGAAAATGCAATGAAGCTATATGTAGATATGCGTACTCGTATCGTGTACGAACGAACATTACCCATATAATTCCAATAAAACGAAAGAAACCACAGGATGACCGTGCTAAAGTGCTTATTTGCTGACGATGGGTGGTCTTGAACGTTTTTAAATAACACCCCGGTCATAAGGGGCAATAAATCGCCGAAGAAAGTGGTTGGACGGTTATGAGGCAGAGTCGTGTCGGCTGTCGCGACCAGACACGTTGAATTTGAGGTCGAGCAAGGTGTATGCTGCAATATAGTATGGCTTGTGTGTGACATCAAAATCAAGTATTCTATTTCTTTTGTTGTCTCAAATTTGTTGAGATCTGAGATCATTATGCACTATGCAGTGTAGCTCTAGACAAATGGCAGCTAGGAACCTATAGACAGTAGCTCTAGCTGTATAGCACTGCTTTGGCGTTACTATCTAATCTAATCCACTAGGCCTGTGCGGTTCGACAATGAGAGGCCAAGAAAAGCCAACACAGTAAAACACAACAAACAACAACAAGAGACAAGTAGAAGTAGTGTATTGTAGAGGCAAGTACTTACAAGTAGACAAGTAGAAGAAGTAGTAGTATAGAATTAGACAAGTAGTATAGGGTAGTGTGGGGTAATTTGAACATATTTTTACGTCTTCTCCGTTGTACCAAATTCCAGTTCAATCCTGGATGAAGAAAAACTGCTTCAGTAGCGCAAGTGTCACTTGCTCTCACCATGCAAGTCTCATTTTTGGACGAGCCGAGCATACCTTGAATAGCATAGCCTCACTTCTCCACCAAGTCACGGTGTGTTCAAATTGCCCAACCGTGGGGTAATTTGAACATACTGCCTTTACCTGTCATAAAAACGATAGTCTCGCCAGCACCGATGTTGTTTGACCCATAAACAAATAGGCAGAACAATTCTAAGCATACCTTCCCTTGAAAAATCAACACAACAGCAAAAATAACAGTTGCAGAGTATCAATATCTGCACGCTGCACACCGGTCAGTTGACAGAATTCGCCCCTCTTTAATTAACAGAACGTCTATCATTTTTGTTCGATAAAAACTCTCCCAACCGTACTACATCTGTTAAAGTGGTGCCAATCGAAACCTGGACATTTGGAGTTCTGATTTTGTCCAATGTCCAATTCGGAATTGTTTGTACAAAGGTAGCAGACTGGACAATATTGGACGATGGCTTGCTACACTTCAGCGCTTTTTATAAAGTAATCGTACATAGCATTGATTGGCGAATGGAAAGCTTGTTAACCCGCGCCGTGCTGGGGGGGGGGGCGTTTTTACGCCCCCCCCCTCAGGTTTTTCGCGAATATCTCAAAAACGGCGGCGCGCAGCGCCGCCGTTTTTGGTACACGTGTTCCTACATCATTTCCGCACATGTTGTGAAAATTTCAGACCTAGGCCGTTCAAGGTCAGGTCACCAGGTCACGTCAAGTGACCTTACCTCAGAAAAAGTTCAAAGGCTCGCTATAGCTACACCGACTGAACGATCACTTTGAAACTTTCAGCGATTGATATGAGTAACAGTATGTATAAAATGTATATCTCGGATTTTTGATATCTGTGACCTAAGGTCAGGTCAATTTTGCGACCTCTCCATTATAAGTCAATGGGAGAAAATTGAAATGCGCCTCTTTTGGACGAATATCGTTCAAAACGCTCTCAAACATCGGTTCATAGGTAAACATGACACACTGAATAGGAAAAATGCACCTGTGACCCCTCTGTGTGCCCCTGAGGTCATCTCAGGTCATGAACGGTCGCCAGCAGTTTTTTGGCTATAACTTTTGATAGAGACGTGCTAGAGCGGTGAAAACACGTCAGATGTGTTCAGCTCGACGATACGGATCGACTGATATGCAACATGACCCTTTTCGGTCAGGTCATGACCTTGACCTGAGGTCAAATTTTCAAAATGACCTTTCAAGGTCAACGAATAGTTCATTCGACGCGTCTCGACGAGAGGAACACGATGCTGGCAAAAGTAATGTCATGGCGCTTATGAGTCAAAAGTTATTGACGAAAAAACGTTTTTCGTAAAAACGGCTATTTTTGGAGTTTTTGCCCTCTGGAGGCTAAACCGTTGACCTGAGGTCAAATCTGAGAACATTACTCAGAAAGGTCTGTAAAAGGGCTATCGAATGCGCTTTTCCGCGGCGCTGTAGCTCTATCGGTTCCCGAGATAGCCGTTGGCAGTTTCCAAAATGTTGAAATAGTCAACATTTTACCTTTGGTGACCTCTGGTGACCTGACCTTTGACCTGACCCAAAAAATGACCGAAGTGTTTTCGTCTTTATTTTTGATGCTCTTTCGATTGCCGCTTACCGCGTGTCGCTACGTGGCCCAGGAGCCGAGTTAGACGGGGGGGCGTGAAAACGCCCCCCCCAGCACTCGGCGGAAAGTTCAGGCCACCAGCACGGCGCGGGTTAAGATCTCAATATAATGAACACTTTTCGGCTGGTAAAATTACATGATAAGCAATATAAATGACGGTTTTGAGTGTTGATAGCTGCATAACTTTCGGACATATTTGGACAAATAGTTGACTTTAACATTTTTGGACGGAAAATCAACAAAAATGCCTGACATTAGACGGATATTAGATGTAAATTTTCTAAAACTGGCATCACTTATCTGCTACTGCCTTGGGTCGAAAATATTGGCAAAAAAAAACTGGGAGCGTTGTTTTTTCGGAGCTATCCCTGTCTTCATTCAAATTCTCACACTATGTTCAAATTACCCCACGCTAAAAGTTATTTTGCCATTAAAAAAAAACAGGGTTCAAAAGCAAATTTCTTTGATTAACGGCGCTGATTAGGTCATTATACAACAAAAGCCGTTGCGTATTAGGCGCTAGCAATGCAAGATTTTGCGCTGCAATGAAGTTGCAATGACGTGTTGTTAGGCGTTTTTCCTTGCGAAATTGATTTTTTACACTGTGCGTCAACATCTTCATTCCCTGAAACTTAAAACCCCGTTCATATGATAGCCCTTTTAGTTACGATAATTTCTCTCACTGGTCTTATTGTCATGCCACTTATGGATTTTCCGTAATTTTCTGTTATTCACACTATGTTCAAATTGCCCCACATGTTCAAATTACCCCACCCTACTCTATTGATAGAGACAAGTAGAAAAATACGGAACAAATAGTGCATAGACGCGTTTCGATAATTAAATCTTCATTAGCATGACATAACCACAGAGGAAAAAAAAACAGAAGAATATCTTGTTTTCTCTGTGGTTATGTCATGCTGATGAAGATTTAAATCGAAACGCGTCCATGCACTATTTGTTCCGTATTTTTAACAACAAGTGTCTACAATTACAGCGAAGCCGCTAGCTAGCATGCTAATGAGAAACGATACGGGATACCGAGCAGTTCTCAGCGCTAGGTATTGTGGGATCCGATTCCGGCCATGCGGAGCCAATATTCCCCAATGCGGGACAGTCTACCTTCAGGCGTCTACCGCTGCTGCCATCTAGGGACAAGATAGTGTACTACTCAAACTACTCCGTGTAAGCGGCACAGCCTACCTTCAGGCGCTAGTCGCTGGACGCTGCTGCCATCTAGTGACGGAAAGGTGTACTACATTAATAGCCCTGCAGCCTGGTATGGTCTTTTTCTAGCGGACATTACCGGCCGATGTGTAATGAATGAACATCTTGGGATGAATCGTTGTGGTACCAGAAAGGGTGCCGTAAAACTTACTGACTCGCTGGCGTTACTGGCGGATCCAGGGGGGGGGGACATTTCGGGCAATGGCTCCCTCCTGCGGCGCTCGAAATCGATGCAAATTTGTGTTTTTTTCGACTTTAGAGAATAATACGAAAAGTTAACAGCTTTAATGGGGAAAAGCTGGTTTTAAACTGCACAGCAGTGCGTAAAGAATCGTAATCCGATGAGTCTTTTTTACTTTGATTTTTGTCGTCCATGTTTCTATCACTGTTTTTTTGGGTGCTCTAAAGTTTATTGTCTAAAATTTGTTTCTTTCACTCAGAAATTTTGAGCTTTTTATGTTTTTACGTTATTTATACTCCATCATTCAAATTAAACCGACCTGGTACTGGAATAACAATTTAGTAGTGTCTTGTTTTATGTTTTGCCGCTCTCGCCACATTGAGCGTCATTTTGAGGTTCTTCAAGGAGATCGGCCGCCATTTGTAATCTGCGCGTGTGTTGTGTTTTGTATCGGCGTGGGTGACCGTGCCGGTAAACTGGTCGGCGTTTTGTGTTCATGTTGAATGCGGGGGTGGCGAAAATAGTGTGATCTGGTGATAACATGCTATTCATCGCATTGGGACAGTCCCACGGCGGTAGTTCTGGTTCTTTCATGGATCACTGGTGAACCCCTCGCCGAAGGGGAAATTTCGGCTTGCAGACATTGGGCGCATCGCGAGCAAGCACGTCAAAGTGCCCGTACCCGGGAAAAATTCGACTGCAAAGGACAAAGCGGTCACGAATCACAAGAAAACGAAAAGTGCGCCTGCGATAACCCCTATCACTCCCCCCGAAACTATGAACCATATAGTGGAGCCGGAAAATAAAGAACCAGAACAAGATAGCATATACAATAGTGTCGAAGACATGGAAACTCAGGAAGGTAAGAAAAGCTTCATTTTTATTAAACATTCTTTCAATAGTTTTGCTGAAATCAAGAATGAAGGTTGTGCGAAATTGACATTGTTTCATTTTGCGTCAGCGGGCATGCTTGAATTGGTTAAGTGTTTCTTTTACCATGTGATATGTATGTAAATTGGTTGACAATATGCATATATTAATAGGTAAGAAACAACAGCATATTTGTGATCGAACGCATGAAGATAATATGACAACAAATGTGTAAAAATATTAGTACCAACTTCAGATAGCAACCATTCCAGATCAGTTGGGGAAACTACGAGGAGCCAAGCAAAAATTGGATTAGCCAATCAGCGGCTGGAGTCAGTCGGTGACACACCAGGGAAATAAGCTAAATTTAGAGCGCTCTATTTATTGCTTCCGCTACTTCACCGTCTCCCATAGGGTCCTGTGTTGAGCTGGTGTCGAGGCTCTAAAAATGACGCCGATTTTTGCACCCTTCTCACGAAAACCGCTCGGACCGCCTGGAAACCAATTGTTCCGCTCTAAAAATTTCATGATCGACGGGAAAATGAACGAGGAAAAGATTGGTCCTGAAATAATTCTGAACTCCCTGTAGAACATATCGAAATATGGCTGCAAACTAGGAGCATGTCAAAATCGACAAAACAATACAAATAAACATACCGGGATTTTTTTATTTTCCATGCATCTGTGTATGAAATCAGTCGCTTTTTCGGAAAGATCATCTTCTGTTTAATAAATAATTCCACAATTGCAATCGAGAAAAAAAAACATTTCTGCTGTGACAGCAGTTTTGGCATTATGCCAGTTGTGCGGCGTGCGCGGTGCTGCGTGGTCGTTGGGACGGAGTTGTGAGTATTTTCGGTGTTTTAAATGGTTGATGGCCATTTGAACCAGCTTTATATTATTTCCTACCAATTTTTGCATCAAATTATTGCTTTGAAAGACCATTGAAACCCCTTATCTCTTCATGAAACACGATCATATTCATCGTCGACGAAAATGGCGCGGGATTCCATTTGCGTTTCGATCGAAATAAATCGTAAATTAAATAATATTCGATGATAAGTATCATATTCTAGTGACACATTTTCATAAAATAAGGCATAAACTTTGCAAGGAAGTCAACATTGGATAATTGGATTCTTATTTTGCTCACATATCCTTGTAGTAGTCAAATGGCTCAATTGTTAGATAAATGTAAGTATATGTTTTGGCTTGATTTTTGCTGTGAAACCACCCAGCCACTTGCCGGATGAGTGGTTTTCTGATAATTACCTGATAATCATTTCTCCTTTTCCTTAAAAGAAACTAAAATTCTTTTCAAAGTAACCCATTTTTAGGAAAGGTGGCTTGCTCATTGACATTTCATGTTCTTGTTTTGTTATTGCTGGCAGTATTTTGATACAATAATGCAATATGAATTTTTTTGCAATAATAAAACCTAAGACAAACTTAGTTAATGCGTCAATCACACACCCAACAGAAAGATTGTGAGTCCCTGTGACGTGAAGTAGAATATTCTATGAATGTGTTTTATAGAATATGCCAAATTTTAAATTAATTTATTATTTGATACTGATGGCTGAGCATGTGAATTATGCCACAATATAATTTTATTTTCTGGTTTTGAAATAGCCGGCAGTATTTTACTTCAACAAATGTAATATACATGGAATACATGTTGTTATGTTATGTTAAAAGTTTAATAACAGCCAACAGAAGGGGCTGTTTCAGCAGATAATGTTTGTACCTTATGCATTACCTTTCTTTTCTGCAGGACCATGCTTCCGCTGGGTGGTCCGATCGACATTTGCCTCCTGAAGAAGTTGAGCAACATGAAGACCACCAGATGAGGTGTCTGCAGTTCATGTGGAACTCTGCAGACTACAAGTGTTATGCCAACCACAACCAAAGTGCTGTGATCATGGAGGCATGAACCTCATGACAACATTTCAGATTTGCAGTTGTACCAAAGTGTGATTCAAACCACCTGTGGCATCTCACTCAATGCGTGAACAGTGTGATCATTGTGCAGTGTTCAGCTGCAACTAAGACATTTATAAGTGACTTGTTTTGCAATTAGCCACCAAAAGCATTTTTTGGGCTGGCTGCTGTAATTTGTTGTGCACTGCGCAATAGTGGTAGTGTTTTGTCACTTGTCAAATTGTCAGTTGTGCATGTTGCATGTTTCTCTCCCCTCGGCCCTCATGACCAGTTAAGTGGTGAATTGGCATCACTCAGTCTCCCCAGATCTCCATTGGCTGTCTGTCAACCACCTAACTTGGGATGGTATTTGCTAATAGTGTCAGAAAAGAAGTGATTGTAGACATTTTTAGGAATATGAGCTCCGTTTCATGCGTTTTCCAGTGGTCATTTTGTCACATGTCCATAGTGTAATAAATGGAAACTGTTCCCTTTTGAAGGTACTCGCGGATGCAGAAAGCGTTGGGCCTAATTATTAAACGCACCCTCCTATCAGCGACGCACGAAATCGACAAATATCATCCTTTTTAGAACAGGAGGAAACGAAAACTTGTGAACATAGCTGTACCTACAACAGTGCATAAGGAATTGAAATTCTGGGAGTTTTTGAAATTCGGAGAAACTCAAGTTGTCGACAGGTATGCCCCCTTGTACGTCAAAGAACGCCTAAAAAATAAACGTCTACAAATGAAGGTAGTATTCGTATGTTCGTTGTCATTGCAGCAGCCTAGCATTTAGCAACATGCATTGCGGTCCGATGGCGAATTACACTCGTGCTCAAAAACTATGCCGGTAACTGCCAATGCACTTAGGTCATAGGTGAGGAGAGGAAGGGTTATGTCAAATGTCAATATCATAGAAATGGCTTCATCTATTGAGCTGTGCCAATTGTACATAACTCAACCAATCTATGCATTTCGTTTCTTGCAATCTACTCATGCTTTCACTCCGGCTTCAGAGTAATCATCCCATACTGTACGTCTTAAGATATTGATGTCTATGGCGGTTTGCAATTGCTAGCCACGTCTTATCTCAGTTTGGTGGCCCCGTACCGGTCCACTCGGCCTCCTCGGCCGCTCTAAAATTGACTTACGGAGGAGGATGGTGGCTTTTATTTTAGCTTCTCCGCTGACTGCGGGGAGCGCCGTCGCCGAGGTAGGAGCAATAATTAGCTTATGTTTGGGACTAATTTCCACGCTTAATTAACATTTTAATGTTATTTTAATTAATTCATGTTAATCTTTGACGCATTCTCTTTCTATTGATACCATCCACCGGGCTGAGAAGTACTGCCTTGCTGCGTAAGGGCCGATAAAAGATCACGCTTTTAGGGGTATCTTTTCAACATGGGGCAGGAGCAATAAATAGAGCGCTCTAATTTTAGCTTATTTCCCTGGTATGTCACCAACTGGAGTGGGCGGGGCGATGACCATATATGGTCATTAAATCAGACAACTTCATCTTTTCAATGAATTTCAGCATTCAAATGAAAAAATAAGGCATAAGAATGTTTTTTAACCACACAAGGCCTACACTCACCCGGTGCATAATTAACTGGCGGCTCTAAATCGCAGAGTTACAACGCAAGGTCAAACCGTGATTGGCAAACATGGCGGATTGAAACAGACGCGCCAAAAATGTAAGCAGTACCGTGGTTTAAAAATGTCATTATTTTTATTATTTTGTTTATGGTTTTTCTGATTTTAGTTAATTTTTTATTTTAGAAGTAAATGTTTTTGTTTATTGTAATTAAATTAAATCTTTTAACAATTTTCTTTCATAAAACCAATCCATTTATTGAATTGGCCAGCTGATTGTGACCCCCAGAACCTGCAGAAAAGCCGTTTTCCTATCGCCATTTTCGAGTCAATTCGCCGAATTTAATCAAATCACACTAATTCCTAGTGAAAAATGGAAGCCTTTTCTCTCCAATAAGTGGACGCGATACCGCAAGTACCGGCTTGTTATACCGTTTTTCACCCTTAGTAGCGGGGGCTGCATTTATGCCCATATATGGTCATCAAAAGTCCATTTATTGACCAATCCATTTTTTGACATTCGCCTCGTAGTTTCCCCAACTGAGATCATTAAGTGAATAATTCAACATTGTAAATTCCTACAGAATTCTCACTTGTATGACTTTTGCTCTGTCTTTTTTGCAATATTTTAAGTAATGCAGTTCAAGGAGATTATGCTGCTATTTCATTTGAGTGGGGTGCACCCATCCCTTCTACGCCATCTAGCTGATTTGGTATTTGATCTTTCCTGCCATCCTTTTGGAGTTTACCTGGTAATCAGCAAGACTGCCTCTGCACCTTTGAGATTAAATTAATTTTAAGTTTCAAGGGAGAGTAAACCTCTTTTTTATTCCCAGCTGTCTTGAGTTGCCATTTCTAACATGAGCAGAATCTTCTGGAAATGAAGTAGGTATTAGGCAGACATGTAGCAAACCTGACAGTGCATGTTTTTTCAAGCTGACAAGGTTCCAGGCAGTACTAATAGTTCAATGGTGTCTCAGCAAAATTACATACCTGCCTAATGGATTTTTGATCCAGCAGGACTTAATGTTCCTAAGCATTCCTGAATTTGATTTGAAGGGCATCGTTGAATCAAAGTAAGGAGTTTTTAAGGAGTTTTCTGGAATGCTTTTATGGAGGATCATTATCTAGGCTGGCTTGAGATAGGTAGCTTTACTGTTTTGGAAACTAAATTTGCCCCTCTCTTACCAGAAATAAAGTGGCTCGGTTCATTTATATCCATATGAAAGTAAATGCTCATTCTTCCAGAGTATCAACAGGCATCACAAATGATGAGCTAGGCATCATCAAATTCTAACCCTGTGGCACAAACCATTTAATTGGTCAGTGTTCAGTAACCATATATCTACTTGGAGCACCACTTGACCATGCATAATTATGCACCATAATTGTTGCTTCTTTAAATCATGCCCAATTACTTGCTCTGGAAATACTGAAAGAGGTTCATTTAGTAGTTAGACATCACAGCCATATGTTGTGCACTTGAAGCCACTTATTCATTCCGCGCTACAGGAAGGTCAATCAGAAAAAAAACATATAGAAATATAATGTCATTCTCCTTTGTGTGTTCTGGAGGCTCTGGTGCAAAAAGTTGTTGGATAAGTCATCTGAGTTTGTACTGAAGCTCTCCAGGTTACACTAACTGCAATGTGCCAACAACATAAGGATAATGCTCTCCAGTTTACACCAATTGTCATTTGTCACATGCCAATGCTTTAGAATAACATGATCTCTTGGGATCCACCCCAATCTTTCAGCCATATGATCCCAACCTTGGTCTTCATACCACTGCTTCACTTCTGGAAAAAAAAAGATCTTGACTATGGCTATCTTGATGTTTCAGTACCTTGGTATTTTGGTTGGGGTAGATTGCAGACATTGTTTTTTATTTAATACAGCTGGACATTGTTTTTTATTTAATACAGCTGCTGGAACTTTCAAAATTCCTTTATGAATGATGGCTGCACAGCATGGAGCAATTCCAAAGTGTCGTCAATATTTATCGTCATTTAAAGTAGAGTCACCTTTGTCCGAGGACAAAAGATGTTTTTTTTTTTCAAAACTCTTTATCGGTCTCTCTGATTCCTACTCCCTCCCTCGACAGTGGACTTTATAGACAAGGCGTGTATGCTCTGACCCTGACTCTGTCTCTGACTCTTGCCTGTCTGTCTGACTCCCTCTCTCAGAAGTGGATTTGACAGACACAACATGCATGATCTTACCCTGACTCCCTGTCTATTTGTCTGACTCCATCTCTCCGCCGGCAGCGGACTCGGCAGACCTGACTCTGATTCCCTGTCCATCTGTTTGACTCAGTCTCTCTCTGCCATCAGCAGACTATACAGGCACAACATGTATGACCTGACTCTGACTCCCTCTCTGACTCCCTCTCTCTCCACCGGCAGCGGACTCTACAGACGCGGCGGCCGAGAAGCCGGCGGAGCGTCCGCCCGCCGAGCCGGAGCCGGACGGCGCGGCGCGGCCCGAGCTGAACGGCACCAGTGAGGTGTGCCTGGTGTCCACCACACAGGACGCCGACATGGAGGAGGGTGAGAGAGGGGGAGCGGGCGCCACGCGCCGGAGGGAGGGAAGACCGGTGGGGGTGCTGGGTGGTGGTGAGTGATTTGCGGTGATTTGGGTGAGAAGTGGTGACTTGTGAGTTATGGGTCTCAGTGACTCTCGAGTTACCACATTTTACTTGCTACTTTTTTCATTACTTGTGACACATAACTGCGGTTGTGGCTTAGCTATTGCTTGCATATTGTGTTGTCAGTCGTCACGTTCCGGTTTAAGCGTTGTTACTGTGAGCTGTGTTGCTGCCAGTCAATCAATGGTTTTGTTACTGCCGGTTGTGTTTTGGTCTTGTTACTGTCAGCTCAGGAGTCAGGCCAGAATGCCAATCTTCGGACCTGTATTGCTACCAGTCTCGCCAGTACGCTGTGTTACGGTTGGTTAAGCTACGGTTCAACCAGTAGGAACAACAGTACCATGTTTGTTTTGCCGCCGGTACGGCAACACAGGGGCTGCCTTTTCTTGCACGCCGTGCGGCCCGTGCGTGTGTAACAGTTCTGTGTATTGCGTGTGTGTATGAAAGGGTGTGAGAACCGCCACTCACAGCTGAGGTCTATCGATTATTGACTGACGCTGCTTAGTCCGTGCCGTGCCGTCCGTCCGTCCTGTTTTTCGCTACCGGTCCGGGGCGTCTGGTTATTTGGTTTTGTTACGTCGCTACGTTTCGCTATTCTGTGACTGTCGTTTTGAGTTCCACGGGCTAGTAGTAGACACTACGGTAACTGGCGTCGGTCTCATGTGGATTGTGATGATCTATTTTTGAAGTACCGTCGTTTCAATTACTCGATGTGACCCAAAATCCAATCCATACGACCTCTCACGAGTCCCGATCAGGTACCTCGCTTACATATTATCATACGCGTGTCGTTTCCTCAATTTCCGGTCACACATTATCTGTGTAGGTATACAGCTGACCTCGTTTCGGTCCGAGTGTAGTGGCCACCGGGATGGTATCGAGTGTGTTCCTCTATCTATCGGGCCTGCTCCAGTGACCTGGGTCTCACTGGCGCCTATCGGCCTGGTCATTGGCACGAGCCGCGGCTGTTGACGGCCGGTACGAAGAATCATGCATGCGGGATGTTCTTTCGAGTCGCAGCCGGCTGGTGGGGCCCCATTGAAGGTCGCTGATGTTACAGGCAGCCCGCTACCGAACCGTCATAGACCAGCCACTGAGCGTCTACCGGCATCAGTGACCCGATATTGACCTGTCACCGTTCGCGCAAATGAGAAACAATTCGGGACGCGCTAAATATGATAGGACACTGAACCGTTATTGGCCTGTCATTTTACCGCCACTGACCAGCTTAATTTATTAACCGGCAGCTAACCTTTCACCGATCATTCTCTTTGTCGTTGACCCGGCGTATTGACTCGCAACTGCTCTGACTCGCACATGAGCTGTCACTGACTTGGTGCGACTGCGTACCCATTTTTGACCCACCACCAACCTGATTGACACTGCAATGACTCCCTCTGATCTCACCCGTCTGTGTCGACTCTCCACTTACCTTCCTCCGACCCCTCAATTAACCCTACTCCACCCCCCCCCCCCCGGCAGACGAGGCGCGCTCGGAGGCCACCTTCTCCTTCTCGGTGCCCAACTTCAGCAAGCTGAAGGAGTCGGTGTTCTCGCCGGCCTGCTACGTCCGCAATCTGCCCTGGAAGATTATGGTGATGCCGCGAAATAACCCCGGCCAGGACAGGAAGCCGCAGCGCAGCCTCGGATTCTTCCTGCAGGTCGGTGGAGAGAGGGGAGAGAGAGACGGGAAGGGAGAAGGAGAGAGGGAGATGGGGGAGGGGAAACGATTCGAAGCTGAGATAGGGACAACATTTCGGGCTCACCTCATGTTTGGGGTCAGCTGTTATGTTAGCTGTCAATATTTCAGCCTTTTTGTGTGTAAAGCGTTAGTTTCTCAGTGCGGTGCCGGCCGCCAAGTGACTAGCCACGTGATTGTTTTGTCTTTTTCGTTGCTGTACCGAGTGTTTTGCTTTACGGAGTTGTTGTTTCAGTGTGTACCAGTTCAATAACTATGATAAACACTAGGTCACGTAACTGCTCTGTTTCCCAGTGCAATGCCGAGTCGGAGTCGGCCTCGTGGAGCTGCCACGCCAGTGCCGAGCTGCGACTGCTCTCAGTCAAAGAGGGAGTGGAGGACTTCAATAGGAGTGAGTTGCTAGGGGCGGGCGGTTCTGAGTACCACTGCCCCCGTAAAATTCGGTATCATCACGGGATAGGATGTGGATGAATGGGTCAGGTTTCGGGGAGAAATGGCACCGCAAAATGACTTAACGTATGAGAATGACCAAAATATCGTCTAATGGTGCGATGCAATGGCATCATGCTTGCCATTGAACTCGGCTAAGCTAAAAAATATCGCCTTTGAAGTAAAATGGTTTTGTTTAGTTTTATGCTGCTACTTGTTCTTTTTTGTCGGATTTCATGCAGACTAACAATATGCCTTGCAAACTTTTCCAAAAACAACTTGACAACTTTCTCAACGGAAGTTTCACAAGTCTCGGCGCTTCCAGGGAAACCCTATTTGACCCGGCCTTAAGCCTGAAACAGACTCTTTCCGCTGTCAGGAAATCGCATGCGAGAGCCTATTCAAATACATGGAAGCACGCTCGCATCAATCGCACGCACCTCCCGCAAGCGATTGATGCGAGAAGAATTATAATGTATTTGAATAGGCTCTCGCGTGCGATTTTCTGAACGCGGAAAGAGTCTGTTTCAGCCTTTACCGCCTCCCCCTCCCCGAGCGTCACATTCACCCACTGACCGCCTCTCCTCCCTCTCCGCAGAGATCACCCACCTGTTCTACAGCAAGGAGAACGACTGGGGCTTCAGCCACTTCATGACGTGGAACGAGGTGCTGGACGAGGAGCGTGGCTACATCAAAAACGACACCATCACCCTGCAGGTACCTACGTCTGAGGGCGTGATCGATGAATGGGCTCTGCCCCCTCGGTAACTCGGAGTCTGTAATGTATCCCATTGCTGGTTCGCTCCTATCTCCTATCCTGTCTTGGGCCTCGGGACCTTCTCGCCAATAATCTTAGCATCAACGCTCACCAGTAGACCTCTGTATACCGAGGTGCGCCCGTGAAAATGGATGCAATCAGCATAAAGTGATGGCTAAATCTTTATATATTTCTTGTTCAACCACATTAATAGGTCATGAATATCTGTAGGTGTCTCATAAAACTAGCCACCACCCAGCGTCCCAGACCTAACACCGAGGGACTGTTGAGTTGCTGAGTTGTTGCTTAGTTCAAGCATTGAAGGGTACTCAACTGCGGTCATTTTACCCACCATTTGACTCTCAGTCTATAAATGCGCAACCCACCACCACCTAACGCCCCTCTCTATGTGCGACCTCTCCGCGGCCCACAGGTGAAGGTGAACGCGGACGCGCCGCACGGCGTTAGCTGGGACTCGAAGAAGCACACTGGCTACGTGGGCCTGAAGAACCAGGGCGCCACGTGCTATATGAACTCCCTGCTGCAGACGCTCTTCTTCACAAACACCATCAGAAAGGTGAGGGCTGATCAAATCGACGGACAGGTGATCTTGAGTGGTCACTGGTCGGTTTTAGTTCGTGTTAGTTGCAAATATCGATAATGGGGACGTCTTATGTTGGCGGAGTGAAGGTATTAACTTGTAATTCTCAATCTCGAATCTCGATCTACAGTAAGGTTTATGTCTTTTTGAACGAGTCTATCAAGTGCAAATACATGATTTACGCTGTTGGCTCATTCAACGCCACTAATTCCCCCAATATACAAAATTTCCATCACATGATCTTTAGTCCAACGGTTCTCACCCACGCCCGGCTCCCCCCCCCCCCCGCTGTGTGCAAAATGTCATGGTGTGATCTGCGTCTATCGTCTATGGCTTAACTTGACCCACGTTTTATCCCGCAGGCTGTGTACAAAATGCCCACGGAGAACGACGACTCGTCCAAGTCGGTGGCGCTGGCACTGCAGCGGGTCTTCTACGAGCTTCAATTCTCCGACAAACCCGTGGGCACCAAGAAACTCACCAAGTCGTTCGGCTGGGAAACCATGGACTCGTTCATGCAGCATGATGTCCAGGAGTTTCTGCGTGTGGTATGTATACTTGTTGGGGGTTCAGGGAGGGAAGTACGCTCCTTGGTCATTGGTGTTTCGTAGGTATTGTGTAGGACTGGACGGTCGGAGCTCATTAGCTGGTACTATATAAGAGACCAGCAATGAGAAGCTAGAAGCTTCCTTTGTATAAGATTTAGGAGACTTTGGGACTGGTTTGAAGAGGCAACCGATTTGTTTTAAATCTAAGGGGGCTGGTTGGCTAGCTTATGAGGGGCAAGATACAGTACCTTGAAGTATGCTCTGACAGGGGACTGGCTTCGAAAGTAGACTGGGATAGAGGACGGCTTGGCTGAATGGCGTACTTCTGGTCCGTGTGCTCATCGATGACACGTCCAATTTGGCTGAACGGCGGCGGTAGTCGTGTGAGAAGAGCTGACAAGTGTCTCCCGACATTTCTCATGACATTTCTCATGTGCCTCCCGTCGACATTGCATGAACTCTGCTGACGTCCCCAAGAAAACGCTCGCTGGCTGCCACAACCCGAACGATGCTTACCCTGACTTGACCTTACCTGACCTGACCCGTCCTGCTCTGACAGCTGCTGGACAAGCTGGAGAGCAAGATGAAGGGCACCTGCGTGGAGGGCGTCATCCCCAAACTGTTCGAGGGCAAGACAATATCGTACTGTCGGTGTAAGCACGTGGACTATCAGTCCAGCCTCACCGAGACCTACTACGACATACAGCTCAACATCAAAGACAAAAAGAACAGTGAGTTATTCAGCTCTGAGATGGGGCTTTGCTATGTCTGAATGACATGAGTTTCACATGAGTTACACTGTGCGACGGGCCAGCGCTGCACTAAAGCTGAATAAGCCGAGCTATACGACGATGAATGAGCGATAATGGGGACATGCGGTATCAACCCGAGCTATGTAGTGCATTATAGCAGTGAAATGAGGGTTGTGCCAATTGCCAGTTGGGTCACCCTCACCTTTGTTGTAGTGTTTAGCGGATTTTGGAAGGGGTTTGTTAAAAAAAAATAGGACAGGTGCTTTGCTTGGAATGTTGGCGTAGGTACATTATCGGTCCTCTAACAGATTGACTGTGAGTCTGGCCAATGTCTATGAGTGGTATCCGACTCAGCAGCACTAGCTGTATATCTGACCGTCCCCTCCACCCCCCCCCCCCTCCGCAGTCTACGAGTCGTTCAAGGACTACGTGGAGCCTCAGACGCTGGACGGAGAGAACAAGTACGCGGCCGGCGAGCATGGTCTCCAGGAGGCCGTCAAGGGCGTCATATTCGAGACGCTGCCGCCCGTGCTGCACCTGCACCTGATGAGGTTTCAGTACGACCCCATCACAGACAGCAGCGTCAAGTTCAACGACAGGTCAGTGTTAGCCCGAGAGAACTGTTCCGCTTGGAACACATAGACCAGCGACATTAATTGGTGTTAAAAATGTTTTACGGCTGATAAGTGATAGTTCATTCAGATTTCGTTTGTAAAAATCCGTTCCCTTAGAGAATCCGCTCTGATTGCAAGAGGATCGCGGATCCCTTAGCGACCTTGTTTTTATGGCTCGACATTGTCCATGTAATCACTAGCGAAAAAAAAAACAGTCCCGGTGCGCTCCAGCTGTTCATACCGTTCGTAATCCCGCTCTCCCGTGTCGCCATCTAGTATCGATTTTCCAGAGCTTCCGAGCAATTGTTAATGAGCCGTGCTGAGGCTCACTGATTGCTGATAAATACTGGAAATGGCGGCGGAGCGCGGACTAGTGGTCGATGGCTGGACCGATGGGGAATAGAAGTTTGGTTATTGATCGAAGTTATTGTTCCGGAATATCTTTTTTGCGACTTGATAAGTGGATCATTCGATTGGGTAGGTAGCTTCCAAGCAACAAAAAGTGAGCTGCAGGTGGCTGCACGGTTCCTGCTGTGTGTTCTTGCTTCTTTTGCTGGAAACGCTTGTCATTTTGACAGGCCGTTTAGATGATTCCCTTGTTTGCGATTCTGTAACCAGATTTCGATTGCTCAGGCGTCAGGGATGGGCAAAGCCAGCTGTGAATGAGGTATGAACAACGTGCACGCTCGCACAATGTTCTACTCAGGCTTTAGGCCGGAACCCGATACCTCTATTGGCCGCCCCATATGCATCAGGAGTCAGGACCCCCCCCCCCCCATACACACACACACACTCACTCACTTCCTCTTTTTCTCTCTTTCTCTCTGGCAGGTTCGAGTTCCCGGACGTGCTGCGTCTGAACGACTTTCTGCAGACGCCGGAGAGCACGCCGGCCGAGTACGTGCTGCACGCGGTGCTCGTCCACTCGGGAGACAACCACGGCGGCCACTATGTGGTCTTCATTAACCCCAGAGGCGACGGAAAGGTATGGACGGGTGGGATGGACGAGTTTAGCGGGTATGGGGAAGGGAGCGAGGGAGTTGTGTAGTGTATTGGGGAATTTTAGCAGTTTCCTTGTGTCGCCAGGTTTGTTACGTGTGTGAATTGTCTCATGAAAGCGACACTAGTGGAGAAGACTAGTTAATGATAAATGTGTGGCTGTTTCCGGGAGATCTTGCTTCTTTTGGTGATAAGCTATGCTAACCATAGGGAAGTTACAGTTTCTATAGAATTATAGCTTTTAAGAACCTGTTATTACATTATGCAAAAGTCTGTAGAGCTAGGTGAGGATTTAAGTAACCATTAGAGTTGGAGCCTGTAGCTAATTTTCTGGTGTCTATCTCAAACTGACCCCCTCCCCCCTGTTCTCTCCCCTCTCCACCAGTGGTGTAAGTTCGACGACGACGTGGTGTCGCGGTGCACGCGCCAGGAGGCGATCGACCACAACTTTGGCGGTCAGGACGAGGAGCTGAACCTGACGGTGCGCCACAGCACCAACGCCTACATGCTGGTCTACATCCGCCGCTCGCACCTGGCGGAGGTACTGCAGGAGGTCACCGAACAGGACATCCCGCTGGAGGTGAGGCCGGGTCGGTGGCGTGGGTGGAAGGGAAGAGGTACTGGGAAATGAAGACATACTACGTGAACCATGCTACACTGGGAAGAGTATATATGAGTAGATTCTGAGACCGTGGGTGCAAAATGACCCTGTAGTCCGCGCCCTAAAGCCCCAATAAACAAACAAAGATTCTGGGACCGGATGTTTTTAGGTCAAATATGACTAGGAATAGAGCTGGTGCAAGGACCGGAGATGTGTAAATTAAAAAGTACTGGGAATAGATTTGCGAGGATCAGATTGATTTAGGCCAAAAGTTTAACCGACTATAGAATATCGGTATCATATCGACGACTGTAAAAGAACGATGAGGGCGGCCACCCTGACCACTCTTGCTATAGACGCCATTGGCTTCTCAGTCAACGCATATGCAAACCCCAATTATGAGTACCCAGTCCTCGATAAAGGAGTGTTGACCGCACTAGGTTCGGGTAGCCTCGTTACGTCCGTCTGCTCTGACGCCCGTTCCGTGTTTCCCAGCTGACTGAGCGACTGCAGGAGGAGAAGCGTCTGGAGGCGATCCGGCGGCGGGAGAGGAACGAACAGCACCTCTATATGCCAGTACAGGTCGGTGACGTGTGTCACCGCGTGTCCTAGGCCGGACACGCGGAGGCCGGCCCTCCGTCATCAGCTGTTTGGGCTCTGTTTTAACCTCAAATACACCGGGATCGGCTCGTTTTTACTTCTGTTGGTTGCCGCTCTGCCCTTTCCGCTTCGGCCACGGAACCCCTCTGCCTTATATCCTGGGTTCTGCGCCAATTCTCAGGCCCACCGTGGCCTCATTCCTTATTTTCTTTGTCTCACTTCGGCCCTCAGACTCGTCGGGGCCCGTCTTTCATAACTGCAGGGTCGTGTGCTGTGACCTAACGCGGACATCTAATGTGTGAGCATGGCCTGATGTGACCCGATGTGATGCTCACTTACGCTCCCACATTTCTGTAGGTGGTTCTGGAGGACAGTTTCGAGGGTCACCACGGACCGGACCTGTACGACCCCGAGAAGGTCAACTACCGGACGTTCAGAGTGAAAAAGTCGGCCACGCTCCGAGAAATGATGGACCTCTTCTCAGAGACACTGGTGAGATTTTATTGCTGTCGGGGGTTTGAGTTAGGGCGGAGGTGTGTTCCAAGTTGTTAGGTGAGGCGAGTGTGGGGTCACGGTCTAGGATTGCAGTTTGATCAGGCATCATGTTAAAAGGTTATGTTTAATTCGTGGCTTAGGTTAAGGGTGAGCTAACACAGAGTTAAGGCTCTTGTTGAAAGTTCAGGGTGTTGAGCCCGGTCACTCACTGTGTGGAAAACAGTGTCAGATATTCCTGAAAGTAGTGCTGTAGTAGTTTACAGCGTAAATTCACGACATGGATTCTAACTGCACAGCGTTATTTCACAGCGTTGGCTCACGATGTTCGCCATGGTTTCCGTTTGTGAGCGGACGGACGTATCCCGGTCTCCGTTTGTAAGCTGACTGTTCGCCTCCCGGCCTGTTTACAGAAAGTACCTGTGAAACACCTTCGGCCGTGGCCGATGACGATCCGCACCAACCAGACTAACCGACCCACTGTGATCGACATGGACGGAGACATCCTGAAAAAGGTAAAGACCAACAGTAGAGGGTTGGTAGACATGCTGAAAAAGGTTAAAACATTGGGCCTCGTGTCCGTATAACTAGCGACAAAACAGCTAGTGTCATTTGAGCTAGTACGTTTGAGCTAGTGCTACAAAAGAGCTAGTGATGTAAAAGCTAGTGTTAAAATAGCTAGTAACTTATAAGAGTTAGTCCCTAGGAGAGCTAGTGGTGCAAAGAGCTTTGAAGATACCTGTCACAATTACTTTGAAGATACCTACATTGGGAGGCAGGGACGGAGGGGGCAGAGAAGAGCACCAAATTTTCGGAAAACATGTGGAATGTCAGGATTCGCACCGCAGAGGGAATGCCGAGGACCAAGGAGTTGCATACAACATTTCAATGAACGTTTGAGAATAAAATCTGAGTCGTATATGTTTCTGTCTTTTTCAATGATACGACCTTTTTAGTGACCGATCTGATCTGAACTTAACTTTGCTTATAAAATCCCGAAGAGGTACGGCGTGAGCCGGTCTACTAGCCCTTAACAACACTAGTCATTTTGCTCCTAGCTGCTTTGTAAGACTAGTTACAACCGCACTAGCTATTTTGTGGCACTAGCCCAAATGAGCTAGCTCAAACAACACTAGCTCTTTTGTGGCTAGCTCATTCGTATGGGAATCAAAACATTGACATGGACGGAGACATTGAAAAGGCTGAAAACATCGGCAGTAGAGATATTGGGAATTAATATATACTTTACGGTGCGTTCACTGGAGATTAACCGTGCGTTAATTCGAAGGTAGCCGTGCACCAATTTAAATTGGTGAACGCGCGTGCAGTGATGACTTTCTCGACTGAAGTTTTTCGGTAGGGTCATTGACTTTATTCTTAGAATTGCCATAAAGGCCCTTTTATTGGCATGGGCTAGGTTTAATTTTGATTTAAATTCGCACCGTTAAGCATGTATTAATTAGTTTAACACATGGTTTCCGTGCATAAATGGTTTTAACGCACTCGTGGATGGAATGGAGCACTTGTGCGTTAATGCACTCGTTTCACTCGTGCATTAACACACTCGTGCTCCAATCCATCCACGTCGTGCGTTAAAACCATTTACACACGGGAAACCATGTGTTAATATATAATGTGCTGCAGAAGGTGGACACGGCGTCAATCGTCAGTCTTCATACGTTTTGCTACAGAAACGAGTGGGAACTGGCTGTCTGACCTGTGTGACCCGTCTGACCTCTGTGACCCTTCTGACCTTTGTGACCTTCCCTCAGGTTTCAGACCTTGCCGACTCCAACTCTGCGTGGACGCTGTTCCTGGAGTGTCTGCCGGCCGACCAGCCGCCTACCGCCTCGCTGCCGCCCTTCGACAAAGACTGTGATGTGCTCATCTTCTTCAAACTCTACTGTCCGCGCACCAAGCAGATTCACTACTGCGGCCACCAGTACATACCCATCTCCAGCAAAGTCCGTGAGTACTGCCCGGACCTCCGCCCCACGCCCCTTTGCCAGCTTTCCATTACCCACTGCCCTTTGGTGACCAACGACTTGGTATTTTACGCATTACGGAGAAGCCAGAATAGCCGTAATTGCCCATCATTGTGTTTTATCCCATCATTACAGTTATTTAAAGCACCCCATCACTAATTACAACTGGGCATTGATGTCCAATTGACTGGTGCGTAAAGTCAGCAAAATGTTTTGTCTGTGTGTTTGCTCGTGCTGAAGCTCGTGTTGTAGATGCTTGTTTTAAACTTAAATATCTGGCCTCTTGATCGCTCTCCTCAGCCACATTCTAACCGATCTCCATCGTCACCAGGCGAGCTGGTTCCCCTTCTGAACGAGCGAGCCGGCTTCCCTCCGGACACCGAGCTGCACCTGTACGAGGAGCTGAAACCCAACATGGTGGAGCGTCTGGAGGAGCTGGAGACGTCGCTGGACAAGGCGCTGGACGAGCTGATGGACGGCGACATCATCCTCTTCCAGAAGGCCGAGCACGAGCCGTGTGATGGCGACCTGCCGACTGTTGAGGACTACTACAAGTGAGTTTGAAGAGAAGCCGGGGAGACTAGATGTGGGAGGGCGGGGATGGGGGGTGTTTCAGTGCCGCTCAGTAGGGAAGAGAAAGGCCTGTCTCACTTGCAGTTCCCGCCAGGGTGGTTGGCTGAGCCGCGGAGAAACATTCATAGGCGTTTTGCATGGCATTATTGTTCTTGCCTTATGCGTTTTTGGCGTAAAAATACACACTCGCGTCGTGGTGTAGGTGACGATAAGTCGTTTGCACTTTGCAAGCCAACAGCTTCCACCCCTCCTCTGCTACCGGGTTGGAGGTAACATTCTGCCGTCCCCCTACCCACAGCGATCTCTTCTACCGGGTGGGGGGGGGGGGGGGTGACGTCCCATCGTTCCCTTGCGCTGAGGGATTATTCTACCGGGTCCGGATTAACATTCTAATGCCCTCCCATTTCCAGAGATCTCTTCTACCGGGTGGAGGTGACTTTCTGCGACAAGACGGTGCCGTCGGACCCGGGCATTGTGATCGAGCTCTCCCAGCGGATGAACTACGATCAGATGGCGCGCGCTGTGGCGCTCCGGCTCGGCACCGATCCCTACATGCTGCAGTTCTTCAAGGCGCAAAAGTGAGGATGATGAGCTGGCGGCTTTGGTTTGATGGTTTTGGAATGGCTGGTGTTTAGTGAAACCTATTGTTCGTATGAATATGGCTACTAAATAATACACCGATGGGTGAATTATAAGCGCCAGGTTTCTTTATTATTGCAGTCCTCGTTTGTAAAAAGAACTATCGACGATGGGCAACCATTGTAGACTTCGCTGGCCCTTCTCTGGCGTCGTTTGCCATTTCTTTCCCAATGTTTCCCCTGGAATTGCCTCACCCCCACGATATCTAACCCCGCTGTCACCTGCTTCTTCCAGTTACCGGGAGGGTCCCGGTAACGCACTGCGCTGCACCTACGAGGGTACGCTCAAGGATCTCCTGGTCGGCTACAAACCCAGGCAGCCCAAGCGCATCTACTACCAGCAGCTCTCGATCCGCATCAACGAGCTGGAGAACAAACGGCAGGTCAAGGTGAGTTGGAGTTCAGCGAGAGGCTGGCTAAAGGACAAAGAGATGGACTAACTACATAAATTCATTATTCAATGATAAACAGTTAAAAGTTTACGCCTACGACGTTAGCTAAGTGGGCTGGGTTTTGAGTTTGCCCGTCTTACCATTTGTCCATCTAACCGTCGTGTCCATTTCCCTCGCAGTGTATCTGGGTCGGTCCTCGTCTCAAGGAGGAGAAGGAGCTCGTGCTGTACCCGAACAAGGACGGCACGGTGGCAGACCTTCTCGAGGAGGCGGCCAAACAGGTGCAGCTCGCTGACGGCGGCTCCGGTCAGCTGCGACTCCTGGAGATCGTCGGACACAAGATAGTCAGTGTGGTGAAGGAGTTTACACATCTGGATACGCTGCCGGTCGGCTCGGCCAAGGTGGGTGCAATGGCGGGAGTTTGGGGGGCTGATGTTGAAAGCTGGTGGAAGGGGGTATATGCAGCTGTGAGGGAACGTGAAATACGTTCGAAATAAAGTCTGTTCCATACCGAGCTGAGTTTGATTTTTTGTGGCAGTTATCTGCTTCGTTCAATTCGTCTAATATACTAATATCTCAGCAACCGGACAAGCAAACGGGATGGAACCAACAACCACGTGACGATAATTTAACAGGTTGTAACGTTATGCCCCGTCGCGACGCGAAGTGAGCGGCAAAGTCGCTTGTATAATAGCTATGTGTATAGAAATCACGCCCTGCTTTGAGCGGGGCTTCGACCGCCCGAGCTTGATATGGAACAGACTATAGTAGAGTTTTAGTTATGTGCAGCGGAGGAGGCAGTGAAGGGCGCGGTGCGTTTTGGGACTAAAGGCTGACCGCTTTTGCTGCTTTTTTTTTTTACTTCCTTGGACCCTTCCCCTTGTATGGCTGGCCTCTTGGCACTACAGTCTCCCCAGTCAATTCATCGTTGACAGTCTCCCTACATATATTCTTCCTCTCTTGGTGACCTCCCCTATGAATTTCTCTTCCAACCATGTAGTTATCTCCTCGCTGTAACCATCTAGTCTTCCCTCTCCGTTTCAGGTGTACCGGGTGGAGGAGACGCCGCGAGACGAACTCAAACTGGAGGAGGACGAGCTGCTCGTGCCGTGCGCCCACTTCCAGAAGGAGATCTTCTCCACGTTCGGTGTGCCCTTCCTACTCCGAGTCAAAGACGTAAGTGGTCTGTTTTATAGTTGTTAGAGTACTGAGAGATGAAGTGATCCGACGGATGATCCTTGCTGGTTGTAATGCTGCGGTCTGCCAATTACCTGACCTGACCCTTCCGCAGGGAGAGCTGTTTTCAGCAGTCAAAGAGCGGATACAGAAGAAACTCGAGGTTCCAGACAAAGAGTTTGAAAAGTATCGGTTCGCACTAGTGTCTCAGGCGACGCACAAGTTTGTGCCAGAGGAGGCCGACTGGCACCTCGGTCTACAGGATATTCGGCCCAAGATTGGCTCAGGTGAGCACCGGTTTCCGACACTCGCATGCTTACAGTCATACCACGGATTTACTGCCCGGTTATCGGCTCAGCATAGATGGCTGACTAAAGTAGCCGCTGGGCAACAGCAATTGGGCAGCCGTTGCTGTTCACGTGAGAAAGAAACGTTGCCAAGTTTGTTTGCTGACTTTCAGTTCTTAGTCGTATGCCATATGCTCCTCTTACTTTGCACGTCTTTTAATTCGTATTCGACGCACCTTACATGAATACGTTCCAGTTGAATAAACCCTCAGCCGGTACTTTATAACAGGAACGGCTATGGCTGTTTGAACAGCTGAACCGTCGCTGCACATTTGATTTTGATGTTTGAGCCACCAACGCGTTCGGTCGACCGCCTCCTGACGCCAGGCCGGGCACAAGTCGGCGAACGTCGGCGGAATTAACCGGGCTTGGGACTGATTAAGCCAGATAGCGGGTTCTCTGCTAATGCGGTGCGGTAATCACGACAGGTACTGGCTGAATGAACAAAGCTGAACATAGCTGCGGCGTTTCGTGGCATTTCATTTTAATACGTGACTGGTTTAGTTCGTTTGGTTTATGGCTCAGCAGCTGAGCCTGAAACCAAAAACGAGCTGAAGATGAAGCGTAGCTGGCTAGCAGTCGACACTGTCTTCCTGGCGATTTGGGCAATGCCATCGATAGGTTACACTTTTGTAGGAGTTTGGATTGGCGCAAAATGACCTTAGTAACCGCAGGTTGTTTGAAAATTAGACAAACACTATAGCTGGCTAGCAGTGGACACTGCTTCCTTGGTGATTTGGGAAATACTTTCGATAGTACACTTTTTAGGATTTTGGTATGGACGCAAAATGACCTTAGTGGTCGGCGCGCCCTAAAGCCCCAATTAAGTAACTAACTTTTAGGAGTTTGGGTGAAGGGGTAGACATGGATTGAGGCACGGGTGGGGAATTGTGCTGGACTGGGGGTGCTCGAGCTCTCCCAATTCCACGCCAGCTTGGCTTTGGAGCCGCGGCCGGGCGGCGCGGGTCAAGGTCACCGCTAGGCGGCGGCGGATTTGCTGCGCCCGAGCACCCCCAGCTGGTCACAATTCTCCACCTATGGATTGAGGGTTCGTGTAGCTAGAGCCACGGGGAATGGCGAGAGCCGGCTGGTATCGGTCACTCCGGGCACTGCTGGCAGGATTGAGGATCGGAAAGCTGACCGTTCTCCAGGAGATGTAAGAATATTGTGTGAGTGCTTGCTTTGGTTTCGCGTTCTGACTTCGCTTCTCCAATTACAGGTCTTTCTGGTACAGAAACAAATGAAATACTATCAGGCACATGTTAGGCGCCTGCTACCAGTTGCTAATCGATCGTGCTTGCTGCCTGTTACCAAGACGTCGTTTTGACTGTTCTCCCCGCCATTTTCAGGCTCCTCGACTCTCTCCTGGCTGGGTCTGGAGCACATGAACAAGACGCCAAAGCGCTCCCGATACAACTACCTGGAGAAGGCCATCAAGATCTACAATTGAGCTTGAGAAGGCGGCGGAGCCGACAAACGCTAGTTGGGCGGGCCGCCAATAGGTGGCGCCACCGTGTACAGTGTTGATTGGCGGCCGGGCTCGGGCCCGTCGCCCCTGTCGAGCTGTGATTACCCCCTAGCTAGGGACGCGCGCGTGCGTCCGCAACAGCAGCGGGCCAGAGCGCTACTGAGCTGCTGAGAGAGAAAGAGCGAGTCGAGAGAGTCGAGAGAAAGAGCGCGCGAGCGAGCGATCTGAGCTGCCAAGCGGCCCGTGGCGCGTGCGGGCCGCGCACGGCCGAGTCTCACGGGCAGGGGGCGCCGCGCGGGCCGGCGCGTCAGCCGGCGCCGGCCGAGACCGTTTGTTTTTACCTCCTATTGCCCGCGGACTCTCCGCGCGCTACCTGATCGTGATCGTGTCTGCCGATAATGATTTCTCTTTGACCGCCGGCCGAGCGCCGACAGCGCCGCCACACGGCCGCCAGACGAAACGACAGTTGCTCGCAGTGCCACAGTGTGGCGCTGGCCGAGTCCCTTGCGATTTGAGTTCATTCCAACAAATTCTGAGGCAGCCGAGGTTGAAAAGTAAAACACCAAGTGCTATGTTTTAATAATAAATTATGACAAATGAATGGTATTTTGTGTTTATCGTCGTGACCTGGTGATGCAGGGGGTGCTGAATACCTTAGCAGTTGGCAGTCTCAGGGCCTGAAAACTATGATCTTTTTCGGAGTCGTACTCACTTATGCTAGTGAGTTAACTGTTTCATTTCACCGCAATATCAGAACTCAGAAAGTGGCTTATACTGCCACGAGTAGTTACTGCTAGATATTCAGATTGAATTAACCAATCCGTGTACCCAAAAATCCGCTCCAATCATAGTTGCGGCACTCGGCCGCCAGGGGCGCTGTCACGCGAACGGCCTTGACCGCTCGCGTGTCAGCGGCAGTTCGGTCCCGTTATTGATAGCTTGGGAGCGCCTGTCGCCTGGAGCTCTGAACGTTGATTTAGACGATCGTGTTGCTCCGTGTCGGTAACGTGTTGGGTGTATTATCACGCGCACTTATTGAAGGGGGTGAGGGTCGGATAAATAGGTATCCGTAAAAGAGGCGGATATCTATGGAAAGTCAGTACCCCCATAATTTTTACAATTTTCATGGCGTTGCATGCCCTGAGCCCAACGACATTTGAACCGCGACATCTTCCTAAAGGTCATTGCTGGCCAGAATACCAGACACTTCTGCGGTAACAATTGAATGCCTTGACCGATTAAATGAGTAGATTTGACCAGCCCACGATTTTAAGTATTCACTGCTGAAAATGTAATTTTGGGTACTTGGCCTAGCTCTGACCTGTGCCTGGGCACATTTGATCCAAAAATCGAAAGTAGGTATCTCGTGGCGAGCTTCGTATTGCGACGTAGCTCCCGTCTCTGTGACCGTTGGTTAAAAAGTTACCAGCTGAGGGCTTTTATGCTCCCCCCCCCCCCCAAGCTGGGTGGCTGGCGAGGGACTTCAGCGGGTCCCGTAGCTCAGTTGGTAGAGCGTTGGACTCCGCGTGGTGAGAGCACGCGTTCCCGTTTACAACAGTCCGGGTTCGAAGCGCGACGGGCGCTTGACATTTATGGGCCTCCTGACAGGTATGGTTGCGGTTGGTGGCAGGCCGTAGCCAGGCGAAGTCAGTGAGGGGACCGGCCGTGTGCGGCTATGTGCGCACGTTAAACTTTGGACTCTAAATTCTGCCATAGAACCGGAATTGCGCGATCGGAGGGTAGAAGGCAGGTTCAACGCAACAAGCTTCGTTTAGTGGGTGCTCTGTCCTTGTGAATCCTTCCTTTCAAAATGTTCGGACTTCGGACTAAAGCTATTAAAAAGAAAAAATGCAGGGATATCTCTCATAAACAGCCTGGGGCCAGTGAAGGGTATAATGACTATGTACTGGCCGGCAGGGTCAGTCAGTATAGGAACGTACGGTATTTAGCCGGCTTGTCAGGTGTTCTGACGGTCAAAGAAATCAGGGAGTGGAAGAACGGCCAGAAAGGCGAGTAGTGGGCAACGACTCAAAACTGTGTGGTCGGTTCTCTGCTCGATGCGGTGATCTCACTCCATTCTTCATGAGTGTCAGTGGACCAACGTCTATTCAAGCAGCAGCCGGGTACGTTTCTACTTCTCGCTCTGCTGTCTGATGGCTGTTTCTCTCCGCACTGCGATGAATCGGGCGGAATGTACTAGTGCTATGCTCTTCATAAAATTTAGCTGCTCGTGACTAGGGAGACAGGCTATGAAATAGTCTTGAAAAGTATCGAATGATGTCGGAGAAATTGTGAGGTTCCGATCGATTGTTTGGCGCTGTGATGGTAAAAAGAAAATAACTATAAAAACTGAAATTAGGATACGGGGCTCACACATACAAGCGGCACATCAAAACATCGTTTAGCACGGCATTGTGTATTTAGTATTGCTCAAAGGATCGAATCAGCAACACTTTTCGGTCGAATCTGAAGACATTCCAAAGATCTCATTTCAGCAGATCAGCTGACTGTAAATTTCCTGATGCCGTTGTTGCCGCGCAGCTCTCCGCCTGGGTCGGTCGACTCCGATGTTCAGTCCTGCCTGTGGTGTGTCTGCCCGGTGAAACGAAGAGCCGGAACCAGCCGCTCCTCTATCCCCGGCGCGCGCTGTAGTAGCGCACGTTGGCGCGACGGAAACCGCCGCCGAAAGCGCCGCCCCGGCCGCCGCCGCGGTAGTAATTATCGTCGTAACCGTCGTAACCGTCGAAACCGTCGTAACCGTCGAAACTGTCGTATCCGTCGTTACCGAAGGCCTGGCTGACGCCGACGCAGACGGCGATTACGACGCCCAGCAGGAGGAAGGCGGAGAGCTGTGGGGCAGAGAGAGAGGGGAGGGTTAGAGGGGGTAGCGAGAGGCAGGGTGAGGTCAGGGGACTGAAATACAGGGTGTCGGGTTGGGGGCTGGGGGGGGGGGGCAGGCCAATCAAGGGTGTTGGTCAGGGGACTGAGTAAGAGGGAGATCGGTCAGAGGGGTGCTTAGGTGAGGGGACGGTCAGTCACGGGCTCTCAAGGAGCAGAAATGTAGACTAGACAGAGCTGGGGGACTGAGGGGAGAAGAGGGAGGTTCGGGGGTCGATCAAGAGGGTGGATAGGTCAGTCAAAGATATTGGTTAGGGAACTGAAATATAAAGCCGTCAGATATGTTTGGACGTAGACTGACTGGAGGTCAACTCACAGGGGGGGAGGAGGTGGGAGGGCAGAAAAGCCCGACTGAGGTCAACCGATATGGCAAAATGTTAAGGCTGATATGTAATTATTTAACGGATATTCCCGTTTAATTTCGAGCCCCTCCAACTCCAGCAGTTGTCGATTGACGACAACCATGCATGATTGCATGAGTCATGAAGTTGCGAGACACTGTTGAGAACCAAACGGTAATTGTAGGGAACAAACGGTTCCGAGCGACTATTGTTGCATGACAATAGTTGTAAAGGATCACGCGATGTTGGTAAACGATCACGATATGGACCTTTTCAGGCTTTGCCCTTGGCTCGGTTGCCATGCTGATTGACTGCGCCGATCTTCTGATTATTGCTCGATCATTTTATGCTTAGATTATAGGAAAAAGCCAAAATCGTGTCCATGGCGGTGGGCTAAGATGACAGCAACAATCAGTGGTCTAGTCGATGTTTTCTTTACGGGCTCTAAGGGTAAAAGACTGAGAAAAGGTTTTTGAAATGCCTTTTTGCCCGAATCTTCCCACCGACAATGCACCGAACGGGTCGGATGGAGGGCACCAGACCCGGTATTCCCACTAACACCGTACCTAAGTGATGGGAATAATTACGACGGACTGTTGGAATGATTCTAAATCTGTTCAAAATGCCGCAGTTGAGCTCAACAAATTAATGTTAACACAGTGCAAGTTTAGGTTTTAGGCATCTGAGATTGTCTAGTTGTAGCGCTAGCAGGTCTGACAATTATTAGCGAGTGGTGAATGACGAACTTAACGAACCCTGAACTTTGGAACAAGTCCGGATTTTTCGGAAGGATGTTTTGGATCAACAAAAAAAGCATACGTTGCTGCGTAGCTGTGCCTAAGAATTAATAAATGAGACGTGCAAATGGTATCCCATATGTCGAAACAGCTCTAGCACAATGAATGGACACCGTATAAGTTAAACCTTAACTTCATACAATAATTATTCGGTATAACTTACCAGCTTCATGATGGTTGTTGTATGTCGGAGCCAGCCGAGGACAATGTCCTATGGTGGCTGATACCCGACTTTATACCCTCTCTGACCCTGCTCGGATCGTCAGCTTTGCGGAAAGAGCCGCCAACCGCACAAAAACAAGGAAATAGGAAACAGAAACACTTTAACCAGGCATGACAGCGATGAATGATGAATGCCCTTTTTAAGAGCGTTTTTACATTGTTTAATTGAGGCATGAACATAATTGCAGATGACTAAGCGGCATTGAATTAAATGTATTATTGCTACGGGCCAGTCTTGTAATGCATGATAAGCATCTGTTCATTTCACGTGCGCGAGGGCTTATTCTATTAGCCCGCACTCGGGTGAGGGAGCAAGAGGGTGCAAACGTCTAATATTTTATCGGCAATATTTAGAAATGACCGTGTTACCATGCGTCTCTTCCACGCACGTACATAAAGCTACAGCCCTAGGTCACTTGAGGTCAGGTCACCTGTTCGCGTTAAGTAACCTTTTACGTAAACAGGCTTAGCTTCACCGACTGATCGGCTGTTTTGAAGCTTACAAATAATTTGGAGTCATTTGGTGTTTGAAACGTATTTCTTGGATTTGTTTATATAGGTAACAGAAATTCAGATCGGTTTTGAAATCTTCCCTATCTGTATCATTGAAATAATTTATAACTTGAAGTCTACAAGCATTATCGTAGATGCCAGTTTTCTGATGATGAAATGGTAGCTTGATGATGATGATAAAATGGGGCGATGGAATATCGTGTCATGCCACAGTGTTCTAAATCGCAACAGTGATCTGATCGTGATCTTCATCGCGATTCGCGATCGTATCGCGTTGAGTCGGGCCGGGGGGGGGGGGTAGGGGAAGGGCGCTCCTCCAACCGGTTCCCTAGTCAAAGAGCGACAGACAAGTGGTATACAATTGTAGAATCCGCTTAACCCGCGCCCTGGTGTGGGTCTGAGCCACCTTCGCCCTGGTGGGGGGGGGCCAAAATGACCCCCCCCCCGTCTAACTCGAAAACGAAGAGGGCTAGGAAGACGCGGAAAAAAGCAAACGAAAGCCCATAACAAGTACGTTCGAAAGTATTTCGGTCATTTTTTCGCTAAGGTCAATATTGAGGTCGCTAGAGGTCATCATAGGTCAAATTTCAGTGTTTTCGGTGTTGCCGGACATATTCCGCTGTAGCTCGGAAACTAGAAGAGCTAGAGAGCCGCGGAAAAAAGCAATCGATAGCTCTTTTCAAGCTCTTTCGCCAAGGTTCGTCAGATTTGACCTCAGCTCAACGGTTTGGCCTACAGAGGTCATGCAAGGTCAACTTGGCAAATTTCGTTGAAAATGTTTTTAACTATAGCATGCATTCACGAGAAAATAGAGAAACGATTCATGCACC